GTTTTGTGTGACAGACAAAGGTTTTGAAAGTGTGGTAAAGTAAATGTGTACTCATTTTGAGCCTGACAACCAAATATCCAAAAAAAAAGATTTTTTTTTTCTTTCTTTTTTTTTTAAATACACTACCATTCTAAAATGTCTTATGCTCACAAAGCCTGCAAATAAATTATACAAAATGCTATAAAAATATTAATATTGTGAAATATGATCACATTTCAATTCTTTTGCAGTTTTTCAGTGTCATATGTTCCTTTAGAAATCATTCTAATACTGATGTTGTGCTCAAGAAACATTTCTTATTACTATTGGAAACAGTTGTGCTGCTTAATATTTTTGTGAAAATGTATTTAGCCCTCTCACCACTGTTATGGCTCAAATTCATAAATACCTCTAGGGGAAACCTCCGAATTAAGTATAACCTGGTGAAAGCCACATCCCAAATTTGGCTTGTAAAATAAATTACCAACCAAGTAAGCAGTAATCATTAGTTACAAAACCCCAGATCTCAGATTAGAAAAGCGTTTTAGAGCATGTGACTACAAATGTGACTACAAATCCCAATGTAAATCCACAAACATGGCTCTGCAAATTAACTTTTTATTTTTCAGGAAAACCACAAGAATTGAACTGAATTTATCAAACTCAAACTTTTCTGCCTAGTTTCTTTTGAAATAATTCAAGCAAATCAGCAATTCAAATCATCACAAGTCAAATCACCACAATTGCAACCCAAACACTAACGTTATAATTCAAATAAATGCCTAAATTCACGCTACTCTCAAATTTAAGTTCCATTTACGAGCTCAGTCTTTTCGTTAATCAGTTCCTTTTCGTAACAATATTTATCTGTTCACAAGCAGAAATCTCCTCTTTTTACGGTTGTTTTGCCCCCACCACCCAAAGCGTTGCTTACTTTTTCTGTAAGACCCCACCCCTTGAACTCTAGGGGTCACACTAAAAACATCTAATTGGTTCACAGAAACTTTTTTTTAAATAAACAAAAGACATTTTCTGTTTGTTTACTTCAATATCAAAACCTTTGTAACTAATTTATTTTACAAAGGAAATTAAAGTGTTAGTTCACCCAAAAATGAAAATTAGTCCATAAATTACTCACCCTCAAGGCATCCTAGGTGTATATGACTTTCTTCTTTCAGACGAATCCAGTCGGAGTTATTTTTAAAATTGTCTTTGATCTTTCAAGCTGTTTAATGGCACTCAGCAGGTGTTGCAGTGCTT